CTGGAATTTTGGTATGTGCCAAGCAGAGACTGCCTACACGACCAGTTCCCAGCAAAAATCTTGAGTAATGAGTCTCTCAAAAACTTCCCTGATTGGCAGCATTTCACGTGTTGCTAGGGGTATTAAGCAAATCCCATGTGACTCAATTGGGAGTAGAAACTTGGCCTTAGTTTCCCCTTGAACTTTGGCTGATTTTGCCTTGTATCCTTTTGCTTTAATAAATCATAGCTGAATATCACTAAATATTGGGACCTGTGGGTCCTCCTAGTGAATCATCAAACCTGGGGGCGGGCTGGGGACCCTCAACACGGTACTCTATTGGTAGTAATTCAGAGGATGTCTGAGGACCATGTGTTGCCAGCGGATAATAGGGCTCAGCCTCACAACACTTACAGAAGCAATGTTGGTGGTAGGGCTCAAACATTTTTTCCCAGTACAGTCTGTAAAACACTTTCTTCAGGTCATCCAAAGAATTGTAGGTTGGTGCTCACTACCTCTTTTTAAAATTTAAAGGTTAGTTCTTTAATTTACTTTCTTTCTTTCCTTAAAGAAACTTTCTCTTAATCCCCCAATGATTAGCACTGTGCCCAGTTTAATAAATGTTGAATTTAATTGAAGAGGCCTCCAGCAGAATGTGAAGGCTTTGATCTTTCCCAGCCCTGTCCCAACCTTGCCTCACTGCGGTGTCTCCACCCACATGCCCTGTTCCCTAACACACACCCTGTGAACTGTACCAGGGCTATTCTAGAACTCCAAATATTGATGTCTGCCTAGTTCCTTTTTGCAAAACAAGAAGAAATTTCGTCTTTGGGATTTTGTGTGTGGCTATTCACTCATTGGATAACTGATGTATAGATTTGACCACATTTAGTAATAGTGATTTTCAGTATTTATTATATGACAGAGTCTGAATCTAAACTCAAAATGATGTGTAATAATGGCCTGAATAAATGGAAAAGCAGAGTATGCATATGCCAAAAGAACTGACCATGCTGTCTGAAAAAAGTTCAAAATAAGAAAAGTATTCTGCAGCTTTGGTTCCATCGGTCTGGTCCACTTTTCACATGTGCCCAACAAATTGTAAATTAATGTTCCCTTCCCTTTGAAGGGGTTGCCGTACCAGTTGTGATGTTAACACTACAGCTAGCTGCCATTTAAACATGTAGAGCATATTCTGCCAGTAAGTCTTAGGATGCTCTAGGCTCACGGTTACCGGAAGCCACAAGTTCATATGAGCGCACGATGGGATGGACAACTGCTATTGTTAAGTCTGTATCAGATAGGGAAAAGATCAGGAGGAATTGTGCAGATAACTCAAGGCAAGAACCCACACTTTCTTAACCTCTCTTGGCATCCATTTTGGACTATCATGAACTAACTGCCAAGTTTCTGCATTTCTGAAGCTCTAGAAGTTATTTTCAAATACAAGGTATTTATATATGAGAACACTAAAATGTACCTATTTACTTGCAGTGAAACTAACTTCTTGCCTAGTCTTCTGAAAAAATTTATATTGTATATCTAGCAAACGCATGGCTTAAAATGTAATAATTAGGGGCACCTGGATGGCTCAGTCAGTTAAGCGTCTATCTTCAGCTTAGGTCATGATCCCAGAGTCCTGGGATCGAGCTCTGAGTCAGCTCCCTGCTTGGCGGGGAGTCTGCCTCTCCTTCTGCCCCTCACCCTGCTTGTGCTTATTCACCCTTGCTCTCTCTCTCAAATAAATAAATAAAATCTTTAAAAAAATGTAATAATTAACCAGCAGCAAGAGTGAAAATTTTCTCTCGGAAACATCTATTAAGATTCAAAGAACTTGGGGTGCCTGGGTGGCTCAGTCGTTAAGCGTCTGCCTTTGGCTCAGGTCATGATCCCAGGGTCCTGGGATCGAGCCCCACATCGGGCTCCCCGCTCCGCGGGAAGCCTGCTTCTCCCTCTCCCACTCCCCCTGCTTATGTTCCCTCTCTCGCTGTGCCTCTCTCTGTCAAATAAATAAATAAAATCTTTAAAAAAAAAGATTCAAAGATCTTAATAGATGCTCTTTTTTTTTTCTTTTTTTTAGAGAGAGAGCATGAGCAGGGAGGAGCAGAGGGAGAGGGAGAGGAAGAGAATCTTAAGCAGGCTCCATGCCTAGCACAGAGCCCAATGTGGGGCTTGATCTCATGATCCTGAGATCACGATCTGAGCCAAAATCAAGAGTTGGGACGCTAACCAAATGAGCCACCCAGGTGCCCCTTAGTAGTTGCTTTTTGAGACCAAGACAATAGCAAGGACTAGAGAAACTACCCAAGGATTTTCTCACTTGGGTGTGGGTGGCAATTCAGCTCTAGATTTAATCTAACATGTAGAATGTCTAGCTACTTAGTAAATAGCATGGGAATCCCTTAGAGCAGACTTCTTCAAAGAATATTGTATTAGACCAGCATGGTCCTCAAAGATGGTCCTCAAAGCATGGGAAGTGGACCAGCATTGGTCTGGAAACATTATCATTGGTCTACAAGTAGATCATTGTAGAAATTGGAAGTATTTACAAACTTCTGTAGTAACTTGACATAGAATGACATGCAAATATGTGATAATTTTTCTAGTAAATCATTGTACTGTATTTTACAAAAGTAATGGTCTATGATAGATTGGACTTCCTCCACCCACCCCCAAATGGCCCTTCACCACAAATAGCTTAGGAACATCTGTTAAAAAATGCAGTTTCCTAGACCCCAGCATAAACCAGAGGAACCCAAATCTCTGGAAATGGGGACAAGTCCCAGGAATGGACATTTAGCGAGCTGCCCGGATCATTCTTTTTCGTGCCAAAGTTTGAGAACTGCTTTAGGAGGAAGGCCAATAATGTGGCTAATACATTTCTGAAGTATAAGGTTAACTTCTGAAAGCCATCCACTCTAAGGACCAGAGTCGCAAGGTGACAGCTCTTACACGTTTGACTTCAGCCCTCAGGGAGGAGGTTGTGTCCTTGGCTCACAACACAGCCCAGCTAACAGAGACCTGTGGTTTCTACGTACAGTTCCATTGCTAGCTTTTGAGATGCCTTTGTGCAAGACACCCTTGAAACCTCTTCAACTGAAAGTTGTTTTTATTAATTGTATTAATGGAAAGCGTCTAAGTATGCAAGGGGTGTCTAGGATCCTTTGATGTGGTTCCTCCGCACATCACACCATGCCCTGGGGAGGGAGGGCTGCCTGCTTCAGGGCAATGCCATACAAGACCTTGTTCCATAGCTCCTGCTTAGAAAACCCCGACGCCCTCCTCAGCTCCATAGACACGGGCCCTGTGACGCTCATCGAGAAAGAACACACACATCAAAGGGGTTCTTGTTTGTTGCAAGTGTAAAGTAACCGGGATCAAAGGGGCAATTTTAATGCTCCCTGGGCACATGGCTTTCTCATTCACCATGTGAATCAGTAGATGATTTTATGAGGAGGAGGGAAAAAATATTTCTAGAGCAGTAATTGCTCATCAGAAGGAAAGAGACTTCTTTATCGCCTGTGCTGCATGTTTAGGTGTTGAAAACCACTCTCCTCGGTGACTTCAGGAGTGAAGTGCTGGTCCTTGGCTCCCCCTGAATCGCTGTCACCTTCGGTCATCCCAAGGAAGGGGCCTCAACCCAGCAGTAGGTCAGCCAGTGAAGAGGAGGAGGAAATAGATTGTGGGAGGAAAAGGAAAGGAACAGACCAGTAATTTGAAGTTTTGACAGAGCTCTTGAGGACAGTTTTGCTTCTTAGAATTTGAACTGAAGCACCTCCTTCTCTCTGTTAGGAATGTGTTTTATTTTCAGCCCCAATACTGTGTCCTGGCTCTCAAGTCACACCTTTTAAGGCTTCTAAACAGGATGCCATTGTCACCTGTGGACCAGCACCCCTTCTCCTGTTTCTCTCCCTTCCCTTGTCTGCCAGGCAGCCGAGGAGGTTCAGGCTGACCTCCTTGAGCAACTCCTCTGGATCCCCAGGCAAAATTCAGCCCCTTCCCTCTTCTCTCCCGGTGGCCCTTATGCATGACTTTCTCTGGTTGTGAGGATTTTCATGGTTTATTAATTAGAAATATGATTGTCCTCTGCAGATAGATGTTGCCATTTAACAGGATCTAACTGTTGTGACTATGTTTTTTCATAAGAAAGGATCCTTCTTTCATAAAAGGGATAAGCATATATTTTTTTAAAGTTTAAAGGATATCAACAAAGATATTGGTGGTGCTGGGGAGAAAGAAAGCCATTTAGCCCTTCTAGATCAAGAACTAGATTTGCTCAGTGAGGATAAGGTTTGATGGGTCTCTATTTGAAACATTAAGAAAGAAAGAAAGAGAAAGAAAGAAAGAAAGAAAGAAAGAAAGAAAGAAAGAAAGAAAGAAAGAAAGAAAGAAAGAAAGAAAGAAAGAAAGAAAGAAGAAAGAAAGAAAGAAAGAAAGAAAGAGAAAGAAGAAAGAAAAGGAAGGGAAGAAAGTTAGTTAAAGCAACTTTAATACTGACAGTTCCAGGGAGATAAATAATTTTGATAATATGAATCTTAACATCTGCGTCCCCAATCCCATCTCTTTCTTTTCAAACAACTGTCTTATAATCAGTTATAATCAAGCAACTATTTTATAGTCAGTTTTTTCTAACCTGTTTCTTTGGAAACTACTCTCGCAAATGAGAACAGGACCTGCGTGTGGACTGTGACGCATGGTAGTCCAATTTGGGGAATTCAGACCTGTCACTCACTAGACTGCCGTCTTGTTCAGTTCAGTACCTCTGTCTCCTCCTCTCTCGCTGCCCCGCCCACGATAATCAACCGGACCTGTGAATGTGTGTCACATCTCCGTAGGCCCCCGCACCCCATGAACCGCAGACAGGCCACCTGCTGGAGGTTCCAACACTGCAAATGTATAAGTAACAGGAAACGAGTGCAGAGCAAGTGTGCATCCTGCAGTCACTCCCACCACCACGCTCCAAAACATCCTCGCTCCCGCTTGGAGTTGTTCAGCGGCTTCTAATTTTCTCCCCGCCGCAGGAATCCTCATCATGATGTCCCTGTGCAGCGAAGTGCACGTGTACGAGTACATCCCGTCCGTCCGGCAGACGGAGCTGTGCCACTACCACGAGCTGTACTACGACGCGGCGTGCACGCTCGGCGCCTACCACCCGCTGCTCTACGAGAAGCTGCTGGTGCAGCGGCTGAACACCGGCGCCCTGGGCGACCTGCACCGCAAGGGCAAGGTGGTCCTGCCCGGGCTCCGGGCCGTGCGCTGCCCCGCGCCCAACCCCGCCGGGCCGCCCTCCTGAAGAGGGGCTCTTGAGAAGCGATGTGCAATAAGGTACTACTGTTGTGCTCTGAGTCACAGGAGAATACTTGAAGATCTCTTTTAGGCAATGTAGGCTTCAGCCTTTAGACTGTAACGCAGCGGTGGCCACGAGAATTCTTCTTTTTCTAAGCCATTGAGTATTTATTACTGCTTTGAATACAGAAATGGAATTTAAAAGGAAAAAATGCTCAAGAAAGATGCAAAAAAAATGCTAAAAAGGAGGGGGGGGCAAACGAATGACAAATGGGTATTGTACCTCCAGAAATGTTAACCTTTTCTTATGCCGTGGGCATCCCTGATGAGGGTTGGTTTGGGCTACAGGTTTCCGTGATGTACCTGATGTTATGAAGTGGTTTATACACTCTTGTTGAGGTACAGTATCTGTAGCACCTACTGTGTTACTTGTACATTCATTCGTTATTAAAGATCCTAGCTTTTATGACAAGCATCTGAATTATCACTCAGATGTGTTTATTTTAACATCAAAATCCCCCATATATGTTGAGAGATGCGCATGTTTACAAACTGTTGCATTCCCCCACTGTTTCCCATTGCCCACCAAAGCTTTGTTCTTTGTGTATCAGGACAGATTTCTAAAACCAGAAAGCATCCATCTCGAGCAGTCCAAGAAAAAGCCAACCCTGGGATAGCACTACAGAGGAGAAACTTTGTTTTCCTGCAGTATTTTCTTGCTCTGGCAAGTAAATACAGAATCACCCAGCTGCAGGGTGGCCCGGGGCCAGAATGTTCCCAGCTCCAGATTTCCTGCATTGTACCTCCTCAGCTGCCAGTCCTCCCCACAGACCTTACACTGTTACACCCAGGGACACTTGTGACCCCCTCCCCCGGGGGGAGGGCTCTTTCCTTCCGATCTAGAAGGAGGGAACGCAGTCTAGAAGGAGGGAATGCGGAGCCTTCACTCTGTGCTTCTAGGGATGCACACCTATCTCTCTTGAGATTTCTTTCAGGTCCATATCAGCTGCTGGAACCCCAGCAATGATGGACTGGATTTTCACTAATTCTCTCTGCAGACAGATATTGAGGAACCCTGTCCCTGTTTTCACAGATGTATTTTATGTCGGCCACATACAAGCCATATAATTAAATAAAATTGTGTGAAAACATTGCTCTTTAACAACAAGGTAAATACCTATATGCTTAAGAGGCAAAGCCAGCTAGAAGGGAGGAAGTTATCACCCCAATACATTGGCTATATTCAGATCTGTTTTGTTCTGTTTTTAATCTCAACTTTTATCACTGATGCATTGAAATACAATTTTTTTGCTATGAATGTGGTGAAACAAACATTTTGGGATACATTAATTGAACATGCTCTCTCTCTATGTAACCAAAACACAGCAGTACAGGTAAGACTTTTTAAATTAAATGTGTTCTCCCTTGCAAGTGCATGAATGTCAGGAGAGTTTAGTGGGAAAGTTTTTTTGTTCCAGGATTGGTTTTTTCCTGAGTGCTCTCAAAACTACTTTCTTGAGCAAGAATGGTTTACAGAAATTGACAGCTTCTGTTTGGTGAGTCTAACTCCCCAGAAATCGTGTTGGGTAATAGGCATCTCCTATGGCTTATTATAATAGTGAAGTAGAGGAGTAATAAAAAAGTTTCAATCATGACAGCATCCACTAGAAGCCCATTTTGAGAGCTTTCTTTCCAGATCTATGAGAAGAAATCAATAATTTTGTCCTACACATTAGCTTATCTGTGAGCTGACATAGTCAAGCCACTTTTTTCTCTGGTTTCCTGAAAGACCTTAGTCTTGTCCCCACGTGTAGTGAGTAAGGAGTTCAGATCATGAGGTCAATCTGAGCACGGTGAGCAGTGCTTCCATGGCCTTGGTTCTCCCTGGACCTTCCAGCTCTGCCTTCAAATGTCCATGACACTGAAGTTCCTCTGACAGTCTTCCTGGGGGATTTCCTTCCGACCTTATTACCCAGGACATTCCCCTTTGGTGACATAAGAGCTTGGTGAGAGGAAAATTCATTGGGGGTCAATATAAATATTCAAGTTCAAAAGCCCCAGAAAACACTTCAAACACTTCAAAGATTTTTAAATAGCATTTTGTTATAACGCATGTACTTTTAAAAGGTCCTTTCAGTCTCACTGATGTTATAAGAAAGACTGAAGAGCATAAAGGAAATCTAATTAAAATTTTTGAATTTATTATGGCCTTAAAGACTCTTGGGAATCAGGGTCTGTTAAACATTCAGAAAATGTGGTACACATATTAATATAGCGTGGCTGGGCATTCTTCTATTTGAAAGTTTAAATTGTTTAGCCTCCCAAAAATATCAGGCTATTGTAGTTAACATGATGACTGCATCTAGTATTAACTAAATTGGTCCTAAGTGGCAGTATTTTGCCAGACATTGATTAAGTCCTTCTAGGCAACATTTACTGAACTGCTGTAAACACACAGCTCTTCCGTGGAGTGGTGGACAATAAATGCTATCCTAGTACATTTCTCCCAGGCTCTGTCCCTCCCAAAACGCTCCATCCCCTTCTGGAGGGGACGCTGATACAGTTTTTAAGGTGCAACCTGAAGCCATTAGGTGTCTCAAGATAATTTCACTCCATCTTTTGTTGTGGTTGCTGTTATCACAAAGAAACAAATGTTGACCAAGAATGACAACTCACTTTTATCTAGGTTCTTGCTAACTAGTTCCCCAGTCTCTCTACCAGCTATGAGGGTGGGTTTAACAGGTGTCCGATGCTCACTGTCCACAGGGAATACCCGTGCTGGCCCCGTGTACCTGACCTTCCCCACTAAGTCCTTACAGGGCTGCTTTTATCCAGAACTGTGTGCATAGGCCAAGAGACGATCAATTAAAATTTGCATATATGCATCATGCAACATCAAGGGCATGTATTACGCCACGTGAGGGACTTTGGTGTATGTTTCAATTACTGGGTCTTTTCTTTCTGCCTGGATGCAGAGTTCTGGGAGCCCTGCTTCAGTCACAGCCCTTCGCATGTCTCGTGCCCTCGTTCTCTAAGCCAGACATTTAATCAATCCTGAACTCACCAGTAATCATCTGTCATTGTAGCTGTAGCATCTGGACAAAGCAATGCTGAAATAATCGTTAGTATTTTCAAAATTGGGAAATAAAAGTAACTGTTTAAAGCTACCACGGGGTTGCTCCATTACATGTTTATGAGCCAGTTCATTCTGGTGGAACAGATTAATACCTTATGTGGTTGGCTGACCCTTCCAGGCAGGAGCACTTACAACCAGCGAATTAATTAGGTCCTGTTTGGCTGCATTAAGTGGGATCAGTCTCATGTGAGTAATGGCATATGATGGAAGCATTTTCTATGCACAAATGACATGATGAAAGTTCTCTCTCCAGCCTCTCTTAGAGATCAACACACAGTGCGTGTTTGAGGCTGGTAGGCAAAGTGACCTGGTCCCATTTCTGCTTAGCTATGGGAAGAGACAGAGAAAGGGAGGAGGAAATTATCAAGAAATCCATGACAGGCCAGATAGTCTCTATATTCTGTCATGTTGTCTGATTCGACTTGCCACTTTCTGATAGCTTGGAGCTCTTACTCATCAGTTATTACAGCCAATGAAGGCAGCTGCATTTAGAGATCAATTGCTTAGGTAAAATGTGCCTGAGTTCAAACTCTTTTTTTTGTACTCTGGACATTTCCGTTGTGAAAATATCCTGCATGTCCTTGTCACTTGGGCATTATTTACACAATTGGTAAATGAAAGGTATCTCTCTGTGAATTCAAGGATAAAATATAAGTTCTGATTCTTGTTTTATTAAATGAATGAAGCCTTTTAGTAAGAAATAGTAGTCCAGCATAGTCCTCTACAAGCTTGGAATAATAGAATTTAAAGAATTAAAGGCACTGCTCTAGTTCTTTCTTTTGTTATGAAAGTGTGCATGTAGATATAGTTATATAACTGTATATATACATATCTACACACATGGTTGGTTTTATATTGTCTTTTTTCATCAAACTTTATTCCTGAAGACTTTACAGTAAATTTTATTTTAATTATGCAAATGCCAATTTTTTAATAGAAGAAAGCAAATATTAGATGTCCTATTAAAAAAAATTCCGTCTTCCCACACACTGGTATTCTACACACCCTGGGTGTGTATAAAATATGGCAGAAATATTTAAAAGGCACTGAGCAGGTAGAACGACTACCTGAACATCATAGCTTCATTGGAAGCCTAATGGAACACTGAACATTGACGAAAAGGTTATTTATTATAGCTCATGGCTTTTACGAGGTTAGGGGGAAAAACTGAATATTGGTTCTGTGGAGAACAGTCTTCTTACCAGGTAGGTTTCAAACAAATTAACTGCACTGGTAATGCTAAAAACCTAACATATTTGATACCACACATCTTGTTTTATGCTAGCTAAAATACTTACGAAATTTTTCCGGTGGGAACCAGTGAACTTTTTTTAACAGCTTTGGGAATTTTTTTGTATGGTAATTTTTAAACCTCAGTGTGTACTCTTCAAATTAATTAAGGCCTGAGGTTTTTCCAGGAGTCACATTTTAAAAAGTGTTTGTATACATTTTAACACCTTTGATATTTTCTATTTTGGTTTTGTATATTTTTATGTATACACAGTGTACAGACTTTTTTCTTGTAAATAAAACATGTTTTCATTTGTCTAGAAGTTTCTCTGTTTTCATTTGTAAAAGTTGCAGATACAAATGAGCGAGTGGCAGGAAAACGATCCATCCTAGGAGAACATGGCACAAAGCCGAAAGCTAATTAGGAAATTGTAAATGAAGTAGCAGCAGCTGGCCCTCGAACTGTGAGTATGGACACGGCCTGGGCCTGAGACCAGAGGCAGCCTCAGTCTTCTTCACCCAAGGACTCATTGCCAAAGATCAAGATCCACAGTGGCAAAAACAAGCAGGAAAAGCATATTTAGGCTACCATATCCCTATGTTGAGTTAGTAGCCCAGCATTTCGGTTAATTTATTGCCTTGGGAGACTCATCCCCAGCTTGACAGGGCTTCAGGTCTTAGAAAACACCCATAAGTTAATAGAGGAAGGACTAGGGACTGTGAAATCGCCTTACCCTGCTACAGTGTCAGATCAGCCCTGGGATCTTCATGCTTGCGTGTGAAGGGAAAATTGGTTCATTAGGTTCCTCGAAAGAAGTTCCCAGTCATTCGTGCCTTCTGGGTACAGTGCAAAGGAAGCCTTGAAAGGAGGCGCTCGGGGTGTTTGAGGTGAGGACTGCTGTGAGCAGCTGGGGATTTCGGGAGACATAAATCACGCTGGGCAGCTGGGCTGCATCTGAGAGTCCTCCCACCACCTTTGGGTTCCTGTCCTTTTTCTTTCCCCACAAGATGACTGCCTGCTTCCAGATGATTAAAACGCAGGCCTGGCTCCGAGGGCCCTGATTAGAAGGCTGTTCCCCCCCCCCACTGAGAGAGCAGCAGGGGAAGAGATGCCTCCCCAGGAGGCTGGCTGGCGGCTTCTCGGGCCTGCATGCTCCTGGCAGGACTGCCAGGGAAGACCAGGAATTACTTCTGTGCCAGGTAGCAGGCACAGAGATGAAGGAAGAACAGGGGGAAGGAGATGGGGAGGAAGGTCAGGGTAGTGAAAGGGAGAGGGAGGGAAATCTAAGTGCCAGGGATCTTCAACACCATTTGCATAACAAAGCATCCATTCAGAAACAAAACTGCCTCCTGGCTAAAGGCTCAAAGGGTTAAGGGAGCCCTACTACTGAAATGTTGTGTTCAAGAAAGCCTGGAGCACAGAACCCTGCGGGAGGAAGGCCCTCCTGCACTCAACCTCTGCTGGCCCCTCTGGGAGCAGGGATTGGCAAAATGTGGCCCACAGCCTATTTTTGTAAATAAAGTTTTATTGGCACACAGCCATGCTCCCTTGTTTACGTCTTGTCTATGCTGCCACATATAAAGAGACCTTATAGTCCGCCTGCCAAGCCTAAAACATGAATTATCTGTCCCTTTACAGAAAAGGTTTGCCCACCTCCCATTATAAATACAGTGGTCCCAGCTTTATCTGTGGTTTTGCTTTCCATGATTCAGTTACCCAAAGTCAGCCACCGTCCAGAACCAGATGATCCTCCTTCTGACCTACCACCAGGAGGTCAAGAGTAACGCTATGTCCCAGTGCCTACATCATTCCCTTCATTTCATCTCGGCCCATAGGTATTTTATCACCCCATGTCATCACAAGAAGAAGGGTGAGTAGAGCACAATCATATACTTAGACCACATTCATATAACTTTTATTGCTATATATTGTTATAATTGTTCTATT